ATTAAATTCACAGGAATTTGTTTCAGCTATTAGAACAGAATGATATAGCTTTATAATAATAATTTAAAAATGTACTTCAAAAACAAAGATTGCAGTGTTTGAAAATGTAGATTCTTAGGAGGTAACAGTATTGTTGACTTCACTTTTCACTGGACACCAACCAACTGTTTGATTTGATTTACATACAAAGCAGATCTTGATAAATGCGAAATGATAGTTATTCAAACAATACAGTAGTCACATATGATAAGGCAGTTCATATTTGTCTCAGTGAATCATTAATTTTGACAGACACCTGTACAAAATACTTGGACAAAAGCCAGCTAAGATATTCTGTTATCTTGTATGTTTTATGAATTTATTCGTGTCTAAATGCAGCACTTTTTTTCAGAGATGAGGCATTTGTTTTTATACTAAAATATCAGAATTTCTTTGAATAAAGCTTAAAATAATTAAACAAATTAGACAGCAATGTTTTTGTAAGATATTTATATTATTAAGAGCATTGCCACTGCTGTTTCATTCAAAAAACTTGTTTTAATTAAAAATTGATTATGACAATGCATATTCAACTATGATAGAGGAATAACATTATATAGCAAAGGGTAAAGTCACCAGAGTTCAACTATGTTTTTATCTTCAGGTGCGAATACATTGTTATAGCCAACCAGTTACTGTGCACACATACATGCACAAAATGTAAACCAGTATGACAGCATATAACCCCCCCCCATAATCAGATTGCTCTGCATCAGTTCTAATAATCAATGCCTTTAAAGTTTCTTAAATCATGTAAAAGTGATTGCTTCCAATCATGCAGATATTCATAGCAACATTCAATTTATGAATTTGTTTGACATATACTCTTTCCTTTAAAAGTTGTAGTTTTGCTCAACTACTATCTCCTTCTTTTTCTATCTATAGTTCCTCTTGCCAGTGTTCAAAGTCATGTTTGAAGAAAGTAAATAAAAGTGTTCTTACCAAATGAACAAAGTTTGCTGTAGAAAGAATACCATAACGAAAAACTACAACACAACCATGCAAAGCAGTTGTAAGTTTCCATTAGAATCAATTTCAAATATCTTAATATGAATAATTAAAGCCACAAGTAGTATCAGTTGGACCCAAGCTTTCAGGTATCTGTTTCATAATTAATGAGGTCACATGTTGCCATATTTTCACCATGCTAAATACTTAAAATCTATTATTTATCATGGCATGTCAGTCTATTAAGACTGGATGGGAACTAAATCAGTGACAATGAATTGTTCTGTTGAAGTTGTTTGTCCTTACATCAGTGCTGTATTTAACAGTGAAAAACTCAATAATTGAATTAAAGTTCTGAGTACATATCATACAAAAAATGTACTGTTTCAGGTTTTATATGGTCTACTGTTAAAGATGCACTTTTGATACAAGTACAGTATACATATTTAAAAAGGTTGAAATATTTGTAATTCAGAATATGGACAGAAGCATTCCATTGCATACTGAGTGAAAGCCGATTTCATTTTGAATTAATGCCATATAGGTAAAACACATGTTTCCATCTATTTGGAATTTCAAGCATTTTATTTTCTCCATAGGAATACATACAAAATAAAAACACATATGGGAAACATTTTGTTGCTAAATCCTTCTACAAATTACATACAAATTGCAAAACCACCTAATTAGGCACAAAGACTTTATAAAAAAGTACACTGTTCAATTCAACATATTGTAAAAGGAAACCCTTAATTTTGTATGATTATAGCAGTTACTGCATACAAATACCAGTAAGAATATGTGACAACTGTTATGAAATATGAGTAGTAAAATTATTCTGCCTGTTACTACAATGGGGCATGTATGCATGAATGATTGGAAAGTGTCTTGTGTGGAAATTACAAAAAAACGTTTGAAAAGAAAATTGTATGTAGGAAGCAAGATCTATAAAGAACCTCAGTCAGAAATCTTTTTGTCAATGCCTTCTCCCCAATATGTGTATAAAGATATTTGAAAAGGCTATTCTTTTGTTTCAGAACAACTCCTCCTTCAACTGGAGTGAAAAATATATTTTGCTGAAGAGAATGACGGAAAGGTATTTAGTTTTGTATAATATGCATCATTTATCCAATGCTAGCTTATTAACTATTATATCCAAGCATCAATGTATCATTTTGCAAGCTGATTGTAAACTTGCCAATGAAAATTTCTGATAGTGTCTCCCAGTGTAAAATTGTTTTTGTCATTGCATACTCTTGTAAATGTTCACATTTGGGGTGATATGTATTTCTTTTTTTATTTGAAACTGTATTCTTGTTTGTGCTACTGCTTGTTACGTGATATATTTATGATACATGTACTATTTTATTTTTCAATATTTTTGAGGTGTGTACAAGATTTTTGTGTACACTCCCCCCCCCAAATTGTAATGATGGAGGAAGTGATTGATTCACCAATGTAATGAGTTACTTTTTTATTTTAGCCCAGGTTTAGAATAAGGAAAATGTTTATTAAGCAAAAATTTATTACATGTTGCAAGGTGTTCAATGCATGTTGATTATAATATATTTATAGCATTTATACTATACCACAGGGAAGCTTATAATAGTGTCACTATGTTATTTTTCATAAAACGTACCTATGTATTTATAATAGATGTTACTGCCTTATTTACAGTTTTGCAACCAGATTTGTGCAAGATTTCTTGCTTAAAGAAGCAATAGCATTTCTAGTGGCAAGAAAGAATGGTATATCATGAAAAACAGCCGATGATCTTTGCCAGCAAACAGAGATGCTAAAAAGATAAGGTAACTACATGTAAATGCAAATCTGCTTGAATTCTATTGTATCTTATACCAACACTTGAGAGAATTCATTAACAAAATTATCTCTGTTTTGTCATCAGGTGGGAAAAGCCAGACTTCAATAGCTTCATCAGACATTACCACAATCCATGAAAAAATAATTATTTTTGGGAGTGATAGAATTATTAGAAGAAAAACATAAATTATCTTTTGAGTTGTTAAATTGTCAGTAATGCATTTTGAGTAGTTGAAATATAAGTTTATAATTCTAGTAACTAAAGTGCAGGATTGGAAACGAAGAAGAGTTTGCAACAGACGTTAGCGTTACATGTACCATTCACAGAGTTTGTCAAGTTTTGAGAACAATGTATTAGTTCATTCATGCCACTGTAACAACCATGTGCTGTGAAAAAATTTTGAATAAAAGTTGTTAAATTTGCAATAAAAATAATTGCACTTGCTCAATCTTTTTCTCATACATTTTATTGGTACCACTCATCTCATTTTGTAGGAGTTGGGTGGCCCTGAGAATGACTTCAAAAGTGTCTCCATGACTTCAAAAGTGTCCCTTAATAGTTTATTTTAATAATTAGCATTTATGTCACCATTAATTGTTAATGAATATAACAAATTAATATGACCTCAAAAGTGTCCCCATGTCTTCAAAAGTGTCCCTTAATATTTTTAATTTAATAATTTGCATTTATGTCACCATTACTTGGTCATGAATATAACAAATTAATATGACCTCAAAAGTGTCCCCATGTCTTCAAAAGTGTCCTTTAATATTTTTAATTTAATAATTTGCATTTATGTCACCATTACTTGTTAATGAATATAACAAATTAATATGACCTCAAAAGTGTCCCCATGTCTTCAAAAGTGTCCTTTAATATTTTTAATTTAATAATTTGCATTTATGTCACCATTACTTGTTAATGAATATAACAAATTAATATGACCTCAAAAGTGTCCCCATGTCTTCAAAAGTGTCCTTTAATATATATAATTTAATAATTTGCATTTATGTCACCATTACTTGTTAATGAATATAACAAATTAATATGACCTCAAAAGTGTCCCCATGTCTTCAAAAGTGTCCTTTAATATATATAATTTAATAATTTGCATTTATGTCACCATTACTTGTTAATGAATATAACAAATTAATATGACCTCAAAAGTGTCCCCATGTCTTCAAAAGTGTCCTTTAATATATATAATTTAATAATTTGCATTTATGTCACCATTACTTGTTAATGAATATAACAAATTAATATGACCTCAAAAGTGTCCCCATGTCTTCAAAAGTGTCCTTTAATATTTTTAATTTAATAATTTGCATTTATGTCACCATTACTTGGTCATGAATATAACAAATTAATATGACCTCAAAATTGTCCCCATGTCTTCAAAAGTGTCTTTTAATATTTTTAATTTAATAATTTGCATTTATGTCACCATTACTTGTTAATGAATATAACAAATTAATATGACCTCAAAAGTGTCCCCATGTCTTCAAAAGTGTCTTTTAATATTTTTAATTTAATAATTTGCATTTATGTCACCATTACTTGTTCATGAATATAACAAATTAATATGACCTCAAAAGTGTCCCTATGTCTTCAAAAGTGTCTTTTAATATATATAATTTAATAATTTGCATTTATGTCACCATTACTTGTTAATGAATATAACAAATTAATATGACCTCAAAAGTGTCCCCATGTCTTCAAAAGTGTCCTTTAATATATATAATTTAATAATTTGCATTTATGTCACCATTACTTGTTAATGAATATAACAAATTAATATGACCTCAAAAGTGTCCCCATGTCTTCAAAAGTGTCCTTTAATATATTTAATTTAATAATTTGCATTTATGTCACCATTACTTGTTAATGAATATAACAAATTAGTATGACCTCAAAAGTGTCCCCATGTCTTCAAAAGTGTCCTTTAATATTATAATTTAATAATTTGCATTTATGTCACCATTACTTGTTAATGAATATAACAAATTAATATGACCTCAAAAGTGTCCCCATGTCTTCAAAAGTGTCCTTTAATATTTTATAATTTAATAATTTGCATTTATGTCACCATTACTTGGTCATGAATATAACAAATTAATATGACCTCAAAAGTGTCCCCATGTCTTCAAAAGTGTCCTTTAATATATATAATTTAAGAATTTGCATTTATGTCACCATTACTTGTTAATGAATATAACAAATTAATATGACCTCAAAAGTGTCCCCATGTCTTCAAAAGTGTCCTTTTATATATTTAATTTAATAATTTGCATTTATGTCACCATTACTTGGTCATAAATATAACAAATTAATGTGACCTCAAAAGTGTCCCCATGTCTTCAAAAGTGTCCCTTAATATTTTTAATTTAATAATTTGCATTTATGTCACCATTACTTGTTAATGAATATAACAAATTAATATGACCTCAAAAGTGTCCCCATGTCTTCAAAAGTGTCCTTTAATATATATAATTTAATAATTTGCATTTATGTCACCATTACTTGTTAATGAATATAACAAATTAATATGACCTCAAAAGTGTCCCCATGTCTTCAAAAGTGTCCTTTAATATATATAATTTAATAATTTGCATTTATGTCACCATTACTTGTTAATGAATATAACAAATTAATATGACCTCAAAAGTGTCCCCATGTCTTCAAAAGTGTCCTTTAATATATTTAATTTAATAATTTGCATTTATGTCACCATTACTTGTTAATGAATATAACAAATTAGTATGACCTCAAAAGTGTCCCCATGTCTTCAAAAGTGTCCTTTAATATTATAATTTAATAATTTGCATTTATGTCACCATTACTTGTTAATGAATATAACAAATTAATATGACCTCAAAAGTGTCCCCATGTCTTCAAAAGTGTCCTTTAATATTTTTAATTTAATAATTTGCATTTATGTCACCATTACTTGGTCATGAATATAACAAATTAATATGACCTCAAAATTGTCCCCATGTCTTCAAAAGTGTCTTTTAATATTTTTAATTTAATAATTTGCATTTATGTCACCATTACTTGTTAATGGATATAACAAATTAATATGACCTCAAAAGTGTCCCCATGTCTTCAAAAGTGTCTTTTAATATTTTTAATTTAATAATTTGCATTTATGTCACCATTACTTGTTCATGAATATAACAAATTAATATGACCTCAAAAGTGTCCCTATGTCTTCAAAAGTGTCTTTTAATATATATAATTTAATAATTTGCATTTATGTCACCATTACTTGTTAATGAATATAACAAATTAATATGACCTCAAAAGTGTCCCCATGTCTTCAAAAATGTCCCTTAATATTTTTAATTTAATAATTTGCATTTATGTCACCATTACTTGTTCATGAATATAACAAATTAATATGACCTCAAAAGTGTCCCCATGTCTTCAAAAGTGTCCTTTAATATTTTTAATTTAAGAATTTGCATTTATGTCACCATTACTTGTTAATGAATATAACAAATTAATATGACCTCAAAAGTGTCCCCATGTCTTCAAAAGTGTCCTTTAATATATTTAATTTAATAATTTGCATTTATGTCACCATTACTTGTTAATGAATATATCAAATTAATATGACCTCAAAAGTGTCCCCATGTCTTCAAAAGTGTCCTTTAATATATATAATTTAAGAATTTGCATTTATGTCACCATTACTTGTTAATGAATATAACAAATTAATATGACCTCAAAAGTGTCCCCATGTCTTCAAAAGTGTCCTTTAATATATTTAATTTAATAATTTGCATTTATGTCACCATTACTTGTTAATGAATATAACAAATTATTATGACCTCAAAAGTGTCCCCATGTCTTCAAAAGTGTCCTTTAATATATATAATTTAATAATTTGCATTTATGTCACCATTAATTGTTAATGAATATAACAAATTAATATGACCTCAAAAGTGTCCCCATGTCTTCAAAAGTGTCCCTTAATATTTTTAATTTAATAATTTGCATTTATGTCACCATTACTTGGTCATGAATATAACAAATTAATATGACCTCAAAAGTGTCCCCATGTCTTCAAAAGTGTCCCTTAATATTTTTAATTTAATAATTTGCATATATGTCACCATTACTTGTTAATGAATATAACAAATTAATATGACCTCAAAAGTGTCCCCATGTCTTCAAAAGTGTCCTTTAATATATATAATTTAAGAATTTGCATTTATGTCACCATTACTTGTTAATGAATATAACAAATTAATATGACCTCAAAAGTGTCCCCATGTCTTCAAAAGTGTCCTTTAATATATTTAATTTAATAATTTGCATTTATGTCACCATTACTTGGTCATAAATATAACAAATTAATGTGACCTCAAAAGTGTCCCCATGTCTTCAAAAGTGTCCCTTAATATTTTTAATTTAATAATTTGCATTTATGTCACCATTACTTGTTAATGAATATAACAAATTAATATGACCTCAAAAGTGTCCCCATGTCTTCAAAAGTGTCCTTTAATATATATAATTTAATAATTTGCATTTATGTCACCATTACTTGTTAATGAATATAACAAATTAATATGACCTCAAAAGTGTCCCCATGTCTTCAAAAGTGTCTTTTAATATATATAATTTAATAATTTGCATTTATGTCACCATTACTTGTTAATGAATATAACAAATTAATATGACCTCAAAAGTGTCCCCATGTCTTCAAAAGTGTCCCCTGATATTTTTAATTTAATAATTTGCATTTATGGTACAATTAGTGGTTAATGAATATAACAAATTAATATGACCTCAAAAGTGTCCCCATGTCTTCAAAAGTGTCTTTTAATATTTTTAATTTAATAATTTGCATTTATGTCCCATTACTTGTTCATGAATATAACAAATTAATATGACCTCAAAAGTGTCCCTATGTCTTCAAAAGTGTCTTTTAATATATATAATTTAATAATTTGCATTTATGTCACCATTACTTGTTCATGAATATAACAAATTAATATGACCTCAAAAGTGTCCCTATGTCTTCAAAAGTGTCTTTTAATATATATAATTTAATAATTTGCATTTATGTCACCATTACTTGTTAATGAATATAACAAATTAATATGACCTCAAAAGTGTCCCCATATCTTCAAAAGTGTCTTTTAATATATATAATTTAATAATTTGCATTTATGTCACCATTACTTGGTCATAAATATAACAAATTAATATGACCTCAAAAGTGTCCCCATGTCTTCAAAAGTGTCTTTTAATATATATAATTTAATAATTTGCATTTATGTCACCATTACTTGTTCATGAATATAACAAATTAATATGACCTCAAAAGTGTCCCCATGTCTTCAAAAGTGTCTTTTAATATATATAATTTAATAATTTGCATTTATGTCACCATTACTTGGTCATGAATATAACAAATTAATATGACCTCAAAAGTGT